TTTCATATTGGGCATTGGACATTCCCATTTGTTTGTGCAGGGAATGTCAGACGTCGAGAAAAATCAGACATTCGCTGTACACACCTAGGGGAATGTCCAATGTCCAACATCAAACTAATACTGTCATTATCATTCATTCCTTTTCTTGTGAAATACACGTATTTTTGATTCCACTAATGTGCCAGTAAGTGGATTATTGGGAAGGGGTTTAGGTTATAAAAAGTAAGAAGCGAAGTAAGAAGGATTTGAACCCTTTACTCTTCAATCAAGAGTCCAGAACCAAACTATGTCTTTTACACTCAACCACGCCTGCAAGGAGTAAATGCTTCAACAAAAGTGCATCACACACACTGCTTCATAAAAACTCTCATGCTATTAACAAACAGAAATTTTTCAAAACACTATCAAGTTTTGGTTTCAGTTTTGGAGTTCAGAGTCCAGAATTCTCCGAGTTGTCTGCAACGCCACATTATCTCCTAAATGACGCTGGTTAAAGAGCACTCTGGAGTGGGTCCCTCCCATTCAAATATTGACCGAGAGCAATGAACTCTTCACATTGCGCGTGTTGTGTTTGTGGCAAAATGAGTGACTTTGACTTCAGAAAGATGATGCAATTGACAGCTGGTCTTTACAACTTGAGGTTACGTTGTATGATATTATACTGCAGCATATCAGAGCCATGATAATGTACATGTACATATTATATTCTATAAATTAGGGGTCCATTTTTTTTGTGTCCCTGTCACATCTGACGTATGATTTTGTAAGTTCAGAATACATTTTCTAATTTCCAAGAGTGATGAATTAATGCAAATTACCAGTCAAACAAATAGCAATACATGTAGTTGGAAATCAATTCTGGTGATATTTCCATGTCAAATAACAAAGGTCAGATGTAACAGGGACGCAAAAATGTCACACACTTTTGAAACCCTAATTTCTGGAATTACCCATATAGTGCAGTATGACGACAGCTACACTGTACTAACCTGTTACATTTCAAGACAACTTTTCTTATGTCACAGTGCTTTGGGAGTTTTTTGGTGCCACACCAGGGCCCAATTTCATTGCACTGCTTAACAGTTATCAGAAAGGTTGTGCTTACTATAGCAGCAATTCTTGTTATTTTAAGCCCTTTTGCATGGTGTGACTGTGCTAACGGTTGTGGGTACACGGAGATTTCCACTATAATATCACTAAGTTAAGCAAATTTTTCTCCGGGTAAGCGTGCCTTTAGCTGCTTACTGCTTACACACTACAGTCTCTATGAGATATGTGAAGCCTCTGTTAACCCTAACCAACCACACAGAATTAAACAGTAGCAAAGTGTTCAATTCTGTGGGGATAGGTCTGGTAGGCCCACAACAGCTGGCTTTTGCATTGGGTTTGGCATACCTCAGAAAAACTAAGTCCAACAGCCTCTGTGCACAAAGTCCCATATGGGTGTTTAACTTTGTGTGAATGGGGAAGGTTAGGGCCATAAACCCTTGGGTTAGGGTTAACATTAAAATAGTGCGCTCATTATTGCAATGAAATTAGCCAGGTAATCCAAGCAGTGACAATTACATGGATAAACCGACAACAAATCAAGCAAGCATACCTGGCTACAGCTGTCTCTTCTCCTGGTGATAACATCCGTGACACTTGTTAAATCTCTTAGCAAAGTCCTGACCTCGTCTGGTTGTGCTCTTTTACGGGTCATCTCATTGGCTGCTCTTTTGGGTGAATGATGAGGTGAGCCAATAGGGCTGTTTGTTACTTGGAAGGCTTTTAATTCATGGACTAGCTTAGAAAGGGTGGAATGAACTTCATTTAAGACATCCTGCAGCTGTAAACAAAAACAAAAACAAAAGAGGGAAAGCAAACAAGTGTTGAATCTCAAATAATTTGCCAAGCAAAGCATGAACACCTGACATTTCTTTTGGTAAAAGCCGACATTACTCTTGCAGCTTTCTGCTCTAATGAACAATTCAAACATTCAAACAAGTGAAACCATCATCCGAACACTGTATGTGCTATTAACTTATAACATAACATGTAAGACTAAATAAAAAGAGAAGTGACTTGGTTCTTCAAGAGCAACGATCCTGGTTCCCAATATACTTAATATAGACCGGTAGTTGAAGATACATGTATCAGTCATGTAAGAAACCCATTGTACCCATCCAACCACCTCTGATATACACTTAAGGTGGAGCTGCAATGAATATTCTTAGACATAATTTTGTCTACAATTTTACACTCTTTCTCAATGTAAAAGTATGAAAGTATTTGAAACATCTACTGGGTTAAATGTAGAAAAAAAGGAGTTTCTTGTGCACAAACCAATGTACATGTAAGTTTATGTAATATTCAGGTTTTCTTCATGAGATGTCATACTTTTGCTCTGGAATATAAAAATCTCATGAGCATAAAAACCAAAAAGGCAGAACAACGCCGTTAGAAATAGTGACACAAAAGCCAAACACAAGGTTATCTGAGACATAACGGTGCATTTTGAGATTTCTATTAAAAAAAACTTACAGCTACTCCTTAAAGCACAAAAGGAATCTTTCCTAAACACTCCAATCCACATTTAAGAACTTACCGTTTGGCTATCTAGGTTACATGTACAACTACCAGCCAAATTTCCACTGTCGGTACCATCACCTCTAGCAGAGCAGAGATGTCCACCCTCCTCTGTTTGTGGCTCCGTCCCCTCTGTACCTGTGACTTCCTCCTGATAAAATTGTCCATCCACCACATCGCATTCAATGTCGTCTTCCTGTTCTTCATCTTCTCCATTGTCTGTTGCTTCAGGACGGGCTCCGTGGCCTCCCCCAGTCAATTCAAGACCTAGCTCCGACAGCAGCGAGTTGCCCTGGAAGTCATTTCTTTCCTGGGTTGAGGCGTTCAGCGTGGCCTGGTAGCGTAATTCCTCCAGCTCTTCCGCTGTGTCATTGTGGACCTGTCGTAACTTGGCCAGCTCTGTGTCGCGCAGTTCCAACTGAAGTACATATAAATTCAATACAAATTAAGTGAGTTTACACAACGATCCCCCTCCAAAATGTTTCGACTATCCAGTACTCACAAATGAAATTTTAAATTTTTTTTCCTTTTCTACAAAACATCCAAAAGAATGAAGAGTTTTATGGCCATGTACACGTACAATGGTTTATATAGTTTATACACATTTTAGTTTACATACTTTTTGCTCACACTCAAATCCAAATACACATGTACATGTACCAAACTGATTAATGATTTCAATTCAAGGGTTGCCCCCCCCGTTGCATTCAATGTACAAGTTGGTATGCACTTAACGCCCAGTGTAGTCATAAATCTGTAAAAATAAATGGGCTATTGAACTGCTCTACAAAAGTATACCAGGGAGGTGTGAAAAGCAACATCCTTCCGACACAAAATTCTAATCTCAAATTCAAGATGTTGATGTGACAATTCATAATCCAACTTCAGACGCATTTCAACACATGAATTTCTCCTGACAAGTAGTTCCAACCTGTTGCTGCAAGTCTCTGTTCTGTTTGTCAAGCATTGCACATCTGTCGCTAGTTTCCTTAAGATTAGAAGCTAGTGAGTCTCTATCACTGGTTGCCATGTGTAGTCTCCTCTCCAGCTCACCTCGCTTGGCAGATAATCTCTGTACCTAAATATAGGTACAATGAGCCAGTTCAATATTCAACTATTGCATGCCTCAAATACAGTGTGTACGAGGTCATCTGGGAATAAACATATGCACGCCCAATCGGTGCAGCCATACGGTAACTCATATGTATGTACATGTACGTGCCATGTTCTCAAAAGACCTTAAACACTTGAAATATCCGACTGGCTAGTTGGCCTGCTCAAGTTAGTTTCCTTTCAAAGCCAAAAATCAACTAGTTTTTTTAATTCAGAATTGTCAATAAATCCAGTCTGGCTTTTCTGCCAGACAATGATGAATCAAGACAGCGAAAACAGAAGAAATCTTAAAAATCCATTTGTATTTTTTTTAATCAAACTGTATTAGATGCAAACGTGAGTTCATGTATAACAACTAAATCTGAAAACAGTTGTGCCTGTGAACATTTTGGCAATTATAGAATGTGAGCTCCAGTTTAAGGTGTGACTGCATGAATATAATTAATGGCCATGCAGAAGGCAAGAAGATCACATGCAAAGTAGCATTATCTCTCATGATTGTCATAACAATATCTTGTACAACGTTACGCAATGCCTCCAAAACTGTGCAAGTTTCTTGTGTACAAACACCAAACAAAGTCTTGATCGTTTCTCATCCTACCTCTTTTTGTAGGTCTTCAGTAGCGTGTGTGTTTTCTCTTTGTGAGTGCTGACGTCTTAGATGAACCTGATCGCGTAATCTCTGAATGTGTTCATTTAATTCGTCCTCCACATCAGCTGCCTGAGATAAAAAAACAACCCGAAAAATTTACAGTATGAAATGATTTACATGTACTACGGTCTAGGGAAGTCAGGTTAGCGTGGTGGTTCTTTCCTCGCCTTTCATTTCTGTGCTGATTCCTGGCTTGATTCACATGTGGATTGGGTTTTCAGTCCCTACCTGATTCCGTAGGTTATACCCAGAATATTCCTCTGGGGTTTTCCTCCCACCTCTAAAACTGTAACTGCTTCTCACCGTCTGCTGTCTACACGTTTTTCAGTCTTGCATGCTACCATGCCTTGGGCACATTTGAGGAATCCTTGGTATCATTACCAGAATGATTTAATAATTACATGTATAACTACCATGACTACAGGTACATGTACATTTACAAACTTCCAAGTAGGACTTTCATTGGCTCAATTTTCCAAAACAATTGATTAGTGAAAAATCAGACTACTGTATGTACAAAAAATTTCCATTCCACAGTTGAGCTGAAGAAAATATATTCTCCTGTTAAATGACCAAACTATCTCTGCTTCCATCTAATCTGTCAGAAATTTTACTTGTCTACAGTTTTATCCAATGCTACAATTTATCTGTTAAAAAAAAATTTCTTGGTACATGTCCATCAAGGGTTTCAACACGAGCGTGACGCAACTGGCCAACCTTTTTCAACTGGTGAACAAGACGTTGATTTTGTTCTGATAACTCATTGAGCGCAGACTGCTTTTGACTTTCCATGGTTTTCTGTGCTGCCCTCTGATTGGCCAGTTCTTTGTGCAAGGAGGCTATTTCAGTCTGGAGGTCCAATAGTTTGCTCTCATACTCGCCGCTAACCACCTCCAGCTGACGACGTAAATGGTATTTCTCTTGTTCCACTTCCTAAAGGGGGCAAAAAAAAAGATACAGAATGAGAAGAAACAAGGAGTAGATAACCAAATCTTGACGAAATTGGAATCAGGATTCTTCCTGAATTTTTACCAACGTACATGTAATATTGCAGAAACCCAATACCACATTTTTCTACCCAACATACATGTACATGTATTAGAGAAATCAAGCCCATTGTAAAGCAACAGAGACTGGAATCAACAGTCCTCACACAACGAATTCAATTATACCGATGTTGGGTTTGGAGGGGTTCAGGAAATATAAGGATACTGAAATCCAGCGTGGCACGAACTTGGATATATTTTGGATTGCCCCGAGTTGAGTCATCAAATTCAGAATGGTCACTTGTACCCAAATCACCAAACTTCCATAAATGTACATGTACATGTACTTGGTACCGGTATATATTTGAAATACGGTAAGTACATGTACACTGTTAATTTACGTTCCCAATTGCAAGCCCAGAAGTTCTGACATGTACATACACATATATGCATGTATGGACCCTTCACATATCCAAAGAAAAAAACCAATCCAGTCATTACCTTTCCCTGTTGGCGGAGTACATACAGCGTACATGTACACTTTGTACAGATTACCATGATGACATGATTACTGTTTTACCTCGCAGAACAGGAAGAAATATAAGTATCCCAATAAAGAATTCTCACCGACATGTTTGATCAGCTTAAGCATGTATGATTGATCAATTACAGGAATTTCTAAAGGTGTATACTGTAGGTCTCCACAAGGATTTCACCAAACTGATTTTTGGAAATCGCTCAAAAAAGGAGACATTTTTAATGTGTAAGAATCAGTTGAAATTTCAGTCCAGGAGAGTGATTCATCATTTACATGTATATAATGGGTTTTGTCCTTACCCAACGTATATATTAATAAACACTGCATGCTCAGTGCTTGTCCGAGAGCTTGCGAAACATAAGCTTACTCGGGTGGGACTCGAACCCACGACCTCCTGCTTACTAGTGCAAAAATACATCTTAAACAAAGAAGAAGAGTGATTCATGTGGAAATGGGAGCATTTTGAAAACATTGTTTCACACGCGACCGTATGAGTACACACATACATGTACCTGCGGCCAGTGTCATGATCTCGCAGATTGGTCTGCACAGTGGTCGTGTCTGAATCGATACGGCTGGAATTTACACACGATTGTATGGAAACTGGCCGCGACCACAACCCCCTAGACTCATGCGTAAATTCAAGCCGGAGTGGATTTGGCTTAGACTTCAGTTTCGCTGGTTCCAGTCATAGCTTGAACATGTGATATTGAACCATGCTCCAAAATAGCTGGAACCAGCGATACCAAAGTCTCAGCCTAATCCTTTCGTTTCGAAAACGCTCGATTGCTGCAGTTAGTTCCCTTTTACGTCTGTGTGCATATGCACGTTATAAAGGCAAGGTGCCCGACTTTTTGCATACATGTAACATCGCTAAGCACATGTTTGAGATTCTGGTTGGTCACGTACCAGTTGTGCGTCGCGTGCAACCCACAAAAACAACAACACGATCAACATGATCAAGGTTTAACTAAATCTCTGCCAATGTCTAAGCCGTAAGTTATCAGTGTCATTAATTTACACAAAAGCAACAGCAAAGACCAGGGTCTTTGCAAACTGACAAATTCAGCTGTCTAGGGAGCAAGTACATGTATATGCTCCCATGATGATTCGCCCAATTTCAAACCCTATATGTACATGTATGTAACGTGTATGTTTCTGCACTGAATGATACTCTCTACAACCTACATTGTACATGTGCATTGTACATGTGCATTGTACATGTGCATTGTACATGTGCATTGTACATGTGCATTGTACATGTGCATTGTACATGTGCATTGTACATGTGCATTGTACATTATGTGCACAGACATTAGCCATGCCCCAGCAGTCCTCCCGCTCACTGATGTGGCAATGAAAAGGCGACAGACTAGCAACCGCTTCCTGGTTGACATGTCGGTTGCTATGTGGGTTGCTATAGGAACCTTCTTGAACACACTGTGCAGCTAATTCTCTCCCTGTGCTCTGTTTGTTCCACCGTACCCGCATTGCCGAGGCGAGAGCAGTTGCGAAACCCAAAATAAACAAAGCACTTCCCAGCAAAATTTATTACCTTTACTACTAAACTTGCAAACCAAAAGTACAGGTGCATTGCAAGTACACTGTACATGTATCATGAAATACTTGTACATGTACCAGTATATCTGTGTTACATTCACTAATTATGCAAATATTATGCAAAGAGTGATATATTATGTTCACTGTGCAAGAAAAGATTGAGTTCCATGTGCAATTTACACAACTTTGTAAAACAAACTGTTAGCGTCAACAGACTTAGCACAACACTGGAGACACATCTATGTTTAATAATTCTGCTGTAAAAAAATCAATTCCTCGCCCTACATGTACATGTATATACAAATCTCTAAGCATGTAATTGATAATACATGTATTGAGTTTGTGCTATATACCGGTAATTCATACAAATAAGCCTTGTACAGTGTACTTGTACATGAACACATGTACATGCTGCCAAAATGAACACAGTGCACTGCACATTCGCTTGGCACTTGCGCAGTATGGTAGCTTTGCCAGATTGATTTTGAAAAATTAGGACAGTGGCTTATTTTTGGAGTACAAAATGGACAACATGAACATAAAATGTACTTTTGAGAGGGAATCCTTGGGGATAAAAACTTGATTTTGTATAAAAAGACAATTTAAATGACATTAAATGAACTCTTTTACAAAGCTTTTCAGTTCTAAATGCCATTTACAGTACAATAACGTAGCGCATATGTACGTTCCATTTATTAAAAAGTTGTGGAAAAGATGTAACTTGTCAAGAGATATCCATTTTAAGTTTAAATGCTTCAATAATCTTGGGGATGGGGGGTAGGAAAAAAGTCAGCAAATACGGTACCTACTGCCATGAGATTTCTGAGTTTAAAAATCAAAACTTGTGGGTTTAAGCAAAATACATGGAAGTCAATGGAACAAAATACGATGCATGTGGTCGACAAATTGAAAGTGGTGAATGTTATTTACGCAGGTAAATGAATACATCCATGCTCTCTTTTTCCAGCCAGCCCAAAACCTGAAATGTCAAATACACATACAACAAATACGTGTAATAACCCTGTGATTTGTACAAAATTCTAACAGTAAATTTATACACTCTGTAGCTGTACATTGTCAGAGTACAATCAATGGAGAATGTACAATGTACATGTCAGCATGTAGGCCTACTGTGTACGGTGTACCAGCTGAAAATGAGTGGTCAAGGATGGATTAATTCAGTAAGTGTGCATAAAATAACCGATTCTCAGAATTTACAGCATTGTAATATGTTGATCCTGGTCACGTTCTCAAAACCAAACGTTAACGACCCTGCCAGTACGTACATGATGTGGGTGCATCTGAAACCATCATGAACACGGTATGCATCTGTAAAACGTTGACACTACCAGTAAATGATTTACATTACATGTAGATACACCAGAATAAATAACCAAAGTGAAGTCAATGGAATCTAAAAGGCTTCACGTGTTGATGAGTACTCCAGTTTTGTATTTCCATTAATTTACGAACCTTCGTGTTTGCTGCAGTTCAGGTATTAGCATAGATACTGTATTGTTGTAATTTCAGGCAGTGTAATTTTGCCTAATGCACCCAAAAAGGGGGGGGGGGTTGTTCACACTGTGATGACTATTTACTATGAGTATGACTCATGGGTATGCATCCTTGCTCATAGTAAGGTTACAAATATGCCTTGTTTAATTTCACGTTTCCCAGTTTTAATGGCGGGTGTTGCCAAAACATCACAAAGGTAAAAGGGGGCACTCGTCACCTCTCTCCCTCTCCCAAAAACAGGGTAAAATGCTTTATAGGGGCTAAGGAAAAATAAAAGAGAGAAAAAGAGAAAGAAAATACAAAAGAGGATGAAAATTACCAGGGTCATGGAAAAGCATCAGAAAAAAATTGACTATTTATTGTTTGTTGGTGACTACTGTGGAATGTACATGTAACCCCTTCCCCTACAAGCTTTGCCCCCTTGTGGTGACGCCCATGGGTGTCAACCTATACTGCCATACATGTACTTATCACAACCATCAATTTCCACCTATTTTACCAAACAAAATGTATCAATTTAACATTTTGGCAGAGGAAAAGGAATCTTTTAGTATATACGCAACCCAGTTTTTTTCATTTCGTTGAGTGTACATTTAGCTGAAACTGTCACAAATTTAAAAACCTTTTTGCAAGTCTCAGAGAAATTGGCAGTCATTTGAGTTACTGATAGACAGACAGGTTAACCCGAGTGCCCATTGGAACTTGGCACTTTTGCTTCAAATTTTCCTCAAATCCCCCAAATTCAAACTCAGTCCGGATGAACATTCTTTGTATTTAAATGGGAAAAAAGGATTTCAACCTTACATGTACATTTATGTTAATTAAAATGTTTGCTCTGCACCTGTTAGACTTTGTTAAAATTAGATTTGGGATGGTCTGGTAGCCTACCTCCATCTTGTCTACCAGTTCCTGCTGCATCTGTTCTTGTCTCCTGGTCAGTTCTTCATTGCGTTCCAGCAAGGCCTTGCCAAGCTCGGCAGCTAAGATCAGATCCTTCTCCTTCTGCTCCAACTGGGCACAGAGGTCCTCCTGCTGGGGTGAGCCGGCCTCATCCATCTTGTCCACACCCATAAAGTCCCCAAAGAAGTCCATTGACCCCTGGCTGGGGTCGTAGTCATCAAACGAGAGGTTGTCCACGACCGAGCCGTGATCTGACATGCAGGCCATGGTGTAGTTCTGCATGGTATACCAGTGGCTGACAATGCTATCGCTTCAAGCGTTTCGCTCATCCATTCGTGAGATCATCAACTGCTAGGCCTGTATTCACATCGCTTTGCAAACGTACATGTACATCCACTCACAATACGCGCTATACATGTACATGTACACTGCATATGACTGCATTGTATGAACCCATTCAAACCTGCGCAAGCGTTACCACCAACAAAAATTCCCACTTCTCATCAGTAAACCACTCCTAAGGTACACCATCAGCTGTACTGCAAGTGAAACATGCACTCTCAGAAGGTGCTATTGATGTTACACACCTGTTGAACAAAAGCATGACGTGTTATATTCAGCAGTGCGTCATCACGGCCTGCAACACATATATTCCAAGGACTCTATAAATGACCCTGAACAGCCCTGATGTGGGATAATCAATGCATCTGGCAAAAGACAATTCAGCAATTTTATGGCAGTGTCTTTGTCACGTATTTTACATACCACTGCGTAAAAACTTATTTAAATACATGTACCGGTCGGATGTACATGTATGTACGTGTATATGTTAGACCAACATTAAGGAATTTTGTAGGATTAACAATCTGTGTTCAATGCAATCAAGTATTTAGTTCGGGGTTTTAGGGCTCCCAAAACATACATGTACTGAAAATCTGGATGCTCATTGAGTTTTCCTCTGATTTTTCTATATTTTTTATGGGGTGCACTTTACATTGCTTAAAAATGAAAATTGTACTCAGGAAAGTAAGCGCTAATCATTGTTTCTGCTCAATTAAATATGAAATGCAGTTTGGGGTGAAAAGGGGCTCCCGCTCATTAAAGGTTTTCTTTTCCAGATTTTTTCAAATTTCTCTCTTTTTTTTGGGGGGGGGGACACTTTACAGAATTTAAACTTTGGTGAATAGTACACTGATATTTACGTTAAAAAAACATATAGCTTTTGTTGAATGAGTCTGGGAAAATGTGATGGGGCTGCTTAATAAACTAACATCCATGCAGATATGGTCACCATGTCCCCAATTTCACCTCCTGTTGTTAAGTCTGATTGGTTTTCACAGCAGGTGGTGAAATAAGGGACCTGGCAACTATACCATCATGGACATGAGGCCATTTTCCCCACCTGTTCTACCCTAGTTCATTTCTAGGGATTCAAGAGCAATAGGCCAACACCATCCAGACATATGGAAGGGCTGCGTAGCACCGTGATCAGAATATCGACAAGAATATCAAATCACATATACTGTATAAGAGCACTGATCTGAATATCAAATCACATATATCAGAGCACTGATTTGAATATCAAATCACATATATCAGAGCACTGATTTGAATAACAAATCACATATATCAGAGCACTGATTTGAATAACAAATCACATATATCAGAGCACTGATTTGAATATCAAATCACATATATCAGAGCACTGATTTGAATATCAAATCACATATAGCAGAGCACTGATTTGATATCATATTCTTACCGTCCAAACGTATGCCTTTTCAATATACACACAACAATATGTTGCAATTAAACCCTTGTGCGAAAATTTAAATTCAGCAATTTTGCCCAGTTCTACAGTTAATTTCTTTTAAAATATGCATAAATTTTATGTAAAGATCAGATGATCTGATAGCTGTTGGCAGATTTATCACATACGCTTGTAACTGATTTCCATGGAGCTGAGTTGTAAAGTGTCACAAATCCACTACCCTAAAAAGTCACTATAGAATCGATTCAGCCGAAAGTTTGCATTTAATTAGAAATGAAGTAAAATAAGTTCGATACATCCAAATCTCCCACAATTGAAATGTAAATCAATTATACTTCTGTGAACATATAAATTTCAAACGGTTTCAGTGCAACAGGCTCAAATCCTTTTCACTGAAAAAAAATTCTAAAAATAAAATCTCCTTCCAACTAAGATATTAAACTGAATTACTTGCTAGAACTCCAAATGAAATTAAGGCTAGATTTCCCAAGGTTAGAGTACACCTAATCCTATACGTACATGTACATTGTACACGCAGGTAAAAACAAAATCAACGGAAGACAAGTTTTGAGATTGTAAATCCAGACGGACGGTAACATTGGCACTGGAGAAATTCAATGCCAGGAGAGGACAGAAAATTCTGGCAAAATCCAAGATACATGTACTCCCCCCGGGGGAGTGTCTTCGGAGATAGAATCTCCTTTTATGCCTGTACAGAAGGAATTTAAGCATTTTTAGTGTACTTTTGGTTCACTGGTAGCTTGAGTAATGACAGCACCAATGCTCTTGAAATAAGGAAATTCACGATCAGTTATACAAGGATTTAGCCCCACACATAGGGCTGTAGTGGCTCTCTTTTACAATTGGTCTCTAATCTGTCGCCACCACAGCCCTAATTCAAGGCATGTCTTAAATGCCTGAAATCCAAACTGCAGGATTGTCACAAACTTTGAATCGTAATATCTTCCGAAATGAGAATAACTCAACAATTTTACTTACACCGGCATATTCCTCAGAGTTTGTACTTTCAAATGAGCACCATAAGGCACAAAGCTTTCCAAAACCGTATATATTTTCCATGTAGGGATGTCAGGCATCAAAGACATGCCTTGAAGTTCAAGTTGCGCTGTGGTGGCGACAGATAAGAGACAGATTGTAAAAGAGACCCACTACAGCCCTACGTGTTGACGTGTGGGGCTAGAAAGGCATCGGCTAGTGACTAAAGTTTACGTGTACTGGGACTGGCCTAACTATCCCTACGTACATGTACTAGGCGTAAATTACTCACACACTGTGACAATGGCATACACTGTACACGTAACTTGAGTTTAAGAACAGTTTCTCAGTAACTGAATTTGAGGCCAATACTGCTCGGTCGCGGTCTTATATATCATACAAAAATTAATCTCAGCCCTGTGGGGGGGAAACACCAATGCTTACCTCTCTTGGAGCCGTTTTGTTTATGTCTCTCTTGTGCGTTGACTGGGATGGTGGCGTTACGGTGTGATGTGTCATGCGAACGTAGGTGGATATCCACTGGCGCTGGCCTCAACACGATCTGGCGCGCGCAAATGCTGTAATGCGCATGAGGGCGGTATTTAGAATTGACGGCGTAGTAAGTGCCGGTTCTGGAGACACCTTTCAAAAACTCACCCCTTCCGTCTAAAACTCGCGCCTCCCGTCGCGCAGTCTCCACCGGTTAATGCGGTCAGCCTGGAGGCGCGGTCTCCAGTCGGGCTAGCAGGGCGGTTAAGTCGGGGACCGCAGTTGGTAAAAAAAATAACAAAATAAACTGACAAACACAGAGAGGTTGTATTTCATTATTTCATGTCTCTTTGGTGTGACGGAAAAACCGTTGGCAGAGTTTGAATTAATAGATTTGTGTAGATTTTGTAATGAAATTCAAATGGCTTTAAAAGCTTCAGAGCCCATATATAAAAAAGCAAAAGTAAACTTGTCTCGAGGGTTTTTTGAACCCCAAGAAGATTTTGACCCTTTGTTGATTAACAAAAAATATGACAAAAATAATATTAATCAATGAAGAGAGACGGTACACAATACCTAATGACGGAAGTTTAAAAGTGTATTGTACGTCACAAAGAAAAACTGTTTGCAGAATTTAAAATTAAAGTTACGACGGGTGAATTAACTGCTTGCTGTTTACATTGTTCAATCGCCGAAGACGCTGAGGAATTTCTGAACATGGACTCCAGAAGTATAGATACTCTCTCTGCAGACTGATCTTGGAGCTAAGTGAACCGAAACAGTTTTAAAACTATCAATTTTTGGATATTTGTAAGTTTGGATACAAGGCAAAATTAGTTCCATGAGCATGCACAGGATATTGACACATTTTGATTGATGCTGAAATAACCCAAAGCCTGAAGTAACTTATTGCCTTCATAAAATCAGATACCTGCTCTACATGCATTGTTTGTCAGAACAAAAAAAACAAAAAACCAGAAAGCTAAAGCTACAGCAGCAGTTGGTCTTGATTTACTAAGGAAGACTCCTCAAGGAAAGTCGTCCACTTTCAATCACTTTCTTCAAATCTTTTGCTCGGTTGCCCGGATGATAATATCATGCACCTGTGATGGAAAAGACGACACAGCATTGAGGTACACAAACTCCCAGGTTAGAATGGCTATTGTGCTTAACCCTTTTCATGAGTAGTTATGGGGACTACAGAGGTGTGACTGGGCAGACAAAAAACATTATTGGGACAACGAAGACAAATTTCTGTCCTCGAAACTTCGTCTTGAACTTCCAACCAAAAAAACTATTCCCCTCATGGTGAAGGCTTGCCCACTATATCTAATCTACTGCAGCCTACCTAGATTGGAGTTTTCTACAGTGAACATTCCCATAAAAACATCGATTACCCTGGGTTTTTAGGAATACAAAATAAAACCACAAATTGAAACTCCTATTCAAAAACTGAATATATAAAAGTCAAACTGAATGATTTTAATGTTCAAACCTTTTGAAGAGTAATTAATAGAAAAAAGGCAGGTGTGAATCTCTCCTAATGATCAAAGCTCATGGTGGAAAAAAAATGAAATGAATAAAAACCCTCCTGAGAGGATGGCTGTGTGCTTACCTGAACATGGGGTGGGGCTTGCAGAACGTATAGCATATTGTCAGCAATGTCGTCTGCCAACAGTGGCTGTCATCCAAAAATGAAGAACAATTGAAGTTGACTTATAACAATCTGCTTTCCACTGACCAGAGAAACCACCCCAACCTGCTTGCCGGCAATAACAGTCAATAACATATCTGCCTTTGCAGAATGCTGGCTGGTGACCAAATCAATTTTCCAAACGATTCAAAGGCAGGATTCGAATCCCGGACCTCTGAACACACCCGAAACTGACCTCTGAACACCAACCCACTCTACTGCAGGCAATGACTATTTGGCAGACCGCCAACACATGGCTGCCAATCTAAGTGCAGTATTCCTGATGTCACAGGTTTGAATTTTGATTTCAATCAATCTGCTAGGGAAGGGGGTTGGGAGGTAGATTGGAACATGAATGTACCCACATTGCACCAGCTCCGTTTCCATTCAAAGGCAAAATTCTAAAATACTGATGTGAAATTATGCATAATATGATACTTGAAAAACTTGGAGGGTGAGGCATGCCTCAACCCCCTCCTCTCAGCCCTTCCAGCTAAGAAAGGGGGTTAGGTAGTGACAAATTAACTGCTATTCCCAGGAAAAAAAGCTTGAGTTCATGATGTTGGGGTCTTCCAAAGAGCAAACATTATCCCTGGAAACCTTAGATGCTTGATGGCAGCAAACACACCAAATCCCTGGTAACAGGTCAGTTAGTATCGTTTTCATGAGTAGCACATTATCTCAAACAGAAAGAAAATGATGACGGACGGGTCATGGGAGTGGTGTTCTTGCATTGACTACGAGTCTCATTGTAAGAGCATCAACCATCCAGCAGAGAAGGATTCTCCAGGGTCGTTATTTTTAAAATCTACTTCTGTTGGACAGCGGTGCAGGTTTTAGGAATTCAGTTTACCTGCAATGTTTTGTATAGCTTCCGGCACTTTTCTGGATCATCGGAATACATGCGCTCTCGAAATTCAGTTTCCACAATGCCAGGTGATATTTGCTGTAAGGAAAGAACAGAAAAAAAAGATGACATCCATCCAAGAATGTTCAAACAATAAGGAAGTGCTGCCTTGCAAAATCTTGGCAGTATTTTCTGAAGTGCTCGCAGTTGAGGACAAGATCTTACCGCAATTCTAATGTGGCTCTTCTTCTCCCTCAATTCCCGTCGGATAGCTTCCACCAAGGCAGTCACGGCGTGCTTGGTGACAGCGTAGAAATGGAAGTCTTTCACGGTCAATCGGTGACCTGCCAAGCTGCAGATATCCAAGACAAATAGCCAGGTCCAGAATTGGCAGATGAACCTCTAAACCTTTGGCATACCAAAAAGTGTACTTTTTGTCTCATAATGCAATTAACCTTTACAGTTCTCCATCCGAGTGGCACAAATGCAAACTAATCGGGGGAAAAATAACATGCATATAATTATGCCATAGAGCTATAACACTGAATCATGTACAAAGTGATGCCTGCTGGGCGCATCCATGTTTGTGCACAAACCTATGGAAAACTCAATTTTGTGTGGCTTTTGTAAGGCTATTTGCATATCTGCATTTGTATTCTAAAACGATATGTCAACAAAGCCGATACGCAAACAACCTCAACACACAATCAGCAAATGAGCGTTTCATTTTGCTCTGCGCCAAAAATCACAATTGCGTGCGCGTCACTGCACAGGAATTTTGCGTGATGTTTTTCGAAATCGGATTTATCGGTTCCCGATGCGCACAACAGCTGCTGATCCAAAGCTGTTAACTCACTTAACACTGACTGAATTACAGGAACGACTTTTTACTTTAGCTGAAATTATATTCACTGAAAGACAGCCATTGAAATACATGCATACGAAATCATGACCTTGCTCAAATATTTGGGAAACTGTCATTTTAAAAGTAATCAGCTATGGGTGTGAATAAACAGGTGCCACTGCTCTGTACGTATGCGCGCGCCTTATTCAAAAGATGCGCTGACATTCGCGTATGCTCTTATGCATTGCATCTAGAAAACATAATTTGATATCCATTCTATCTGATCATGAATACTCTACAAGCACGCACATAGATTCAAAATGTCTCTGCCCAGAACGGCTTCAAATTATCTCCATGCAGAGAATGAGAAATTAGTGCTCTAGTTTATATATATATATATAGCTCTATGATTTATACCTATGCCAGAGTAGGCCTAGTCCACAGAATACCCCAATTGAGACAGGAGAGAAATATACCCCAATCAGGGACAGCTGAAATAACCTTTAGGAGAATAAAAAATGCAAACCCTATGGAAGACTCCTCCATTAAAAGGTCTCCACAGTGCTGGATGGGTTCTCAAGCTCTATGAGGGATATACATATAAGGGTCAAAAGGGGCCATGTTCAGGGCCCAGCCTCATATCCTGGAGCTCATTCCCCTATCACTGATGTCCACTCTATCTACCTGTTGGTCACCAACAGCTGACCATCTGTTGCTCCCTTCTCCTCCATCTGTTTCACAGCCTCTCGACAGCAAATAGCCACAGCTAAAAAATTCACCTGTCATTGGAAAGAGAAAAACATAGATAAACTTCACAATCACAGATGAACTACCTGGAGTAATGAAGTTACCCAAAGTCGGGGGGGGGGAACTTGGTGACAACACATTGTTACAAAGAGATATAAAAACTCTTGAAAGTGTAGCTGCAATGATTTTTTTCTTGGATAAAATATTTCTGCAATTTTTGCTCTTCTTCAATGTGTAAAAATTCTTGTGCAATCTTATTTGGTTAACTGCATTGAAAATTGCACTTTCTAATAATCCATGCTTTCCTGGACAACTGAGGGCACTGTTGCCTTGATGTCACCTCGGGAAAACATAGTTCAGTACATAGGTTTTTCTGTTCAAATTGTGCACCCAGATTTTGGTTCCTGAAAACATTTCTGAGAATGGGATTGATGCTTTCTTATTGCTATGCACATAAGCAACGAGGAATCAGAAAAGAAAGTGGCATTTAGTCCAGCAAAATCTACAAAAATGCAACCCTTTTTTGTGTACAATTAACCAGTGTAACATTGAGGCTTTCTTCCTGGGATGGCATTACAGTTTTGCTCATGAATATGTAAATTCTCATTAGCATAAAACCAAAAAAGGCTGTAAAACACCCTTTGAAAAAGACAGACAACAGTTGGAATTAAGGTTAACTGAGACACACAGGTGCATTTTGAAGGTCTGCATTAAAACAGAATTTACACTAGCTGATACTTGGAAGCATTAGCTGAATAACCGTCCAGTTGCACTCACATCTAACATATCTCGCCATTTGACCGTCTCTCCATTCAGTATACCAATTGGTGAGGCCAGTGAACCGGAATGACTTATTCCTGCATTGCTGACACAGACGTCCACACCGCCAAACCTCTCCTTGATCTCAGCAAACATTGCCAGGATTTCGCCCTCTTGTGTCAGGTCGCACTTGATTGCGTGCAGGGAGCCAGTGACAGTGCTGTCGCTGGACAGATCCCGAGCATCATCCTGGAAAGTTCCCCCCAAAAAGCAGGAAAAGGATCACTTCAGTTGTATAGGAAACCTGACTTTGTCGTAATCAATCATTCATAACAATATCAGTAGGGGAAGAAACCCCCCAACTATGTTTGGGGCAGACCAAACCACAACTGGGATGATCCCAGATATAGTTGGAAAATCCCAAATCACAGAGCTGCAGTATACCGCATTTGCAGGGGACCCAATTTCAGTCAGATTCCCCCACGTAGAGGATTCATTGGAAAAATGTTAAATTAAAGAACCAGACTCTATTCTCTGATTTCATTCTAAGGGTTTCAAATGTATACAATACATTCAGGAAAATGACTGAAATTGGGTACCCAGCAAATACAGTCTGTTGGGCCAACCTTGCAGCACTACTGCTGGGATAAATTTCTTAGGAACCCACGTTATAGTTGCGGCTAGGGCTAGCTGGTACAAGCGACAACTGTAGTTACCTGTAGTTTGAGCAACCTAGCTCAAACAATGGACTTTTTGGACCATGCCTTGATTAACCATTTTTTTAACTTAGCCCCGGGGGATAGTCACACTGCTGGTTATAAATACCCCACTTCACTCATCAGTATGGAAGGAACCTTTCACATGGAAATAATTGGACGCAATGTCATTAACCAATGTAAGAATTGCAGCCAACAGGAAAATATGCATGAAAGTGAGACTGTCGGACGCAATTAGATTAGGGTCATTCGAGAGTGGCTGTAATGTGCATGCCATTGTAAAAAAGATACCAATGAGAGGTAGAACTATATCAGGCTTGAACCTGCCCCGAGGTCGACACCATTTGTCAAAGGGGGGGAAAAGAGCTCCATACATGGGCATCACTCAGTCTCCCCTATGGTGGTATAGTAGCCCTCAAAAAACCACTGCATGTCCTGAAGAGCCAATTTAGCAGGGAAAACATCAAAGCATTTACTTAGAAGTGTGGAAATTGTGGAGTGCTGTGGCCCTGTGGTTAAGAGCACTGAATTCGCAGTCGGCGGGTAAAGCCACAGGTTGCCGGTTCGAATCCAGCCTGGGGTCATGGTGCATGTACCCTCGGGCAAGGCACTTTGCCACTAATCGCTTCTGCCCACGGCCACCCAGGAGTAATTGGGTACCTGAGAGGGCAAAGATGGTTACTGTGGTCATGGTGGTTGATTTAGCTGCTTTGTTCCAAAATGGCTGCATCGAGCTGTATATTGCTCGGGGAGCTGAGATGGTATTTAGAATGTTTCATAGGCCCAGTGAGCAGGGGTAATAATAATGGAAAGTGCTTTGTTCTCTGTTAAAAGTGCTACATAAGAACTGTTATCATTATTATTAGAAAGCAATTTGTTCAGATTTTTTCAGACCAGTCTCATGGGGTTTGTGCAGAGTGTGTCAAATGATGTTCTTGTGGGAAACTCTCTCCAAGGAGGCTTGTATGGTGTGCCTCCACTGAGACAAGGTCTTTGCTTCATGGATGTACTCATTAACAATTATTGACACACAACATACTTGCGTGTAAGTTGACACCTTGACAATACTTGCATTGCATTGTATTTCGGTGAATTTAGTCAACTTTGCCAGTTGTAAGAGCCCACTATGCAAGCTTGCTATTGCTGTTCAGGGCAATTTGGAATCTGGTGTTAGTTCACTGTACTCCATCTGATGGAGTTGAGTTGCCTTGGAGTGAATATCCATTGGTAGGAAATCAAGTCTGGAGGGAGTACGATAAATCTGCTCGAGAGTTAGGATTGTGATAACATGGCTATTCATTTTCATGCTTTTCAACATTGAAAAGTTCAAGCAGCGTCATTATCTACAGCCAGTGTCATCCTCTCCTGTCCACTGGTGGCAGAGGGGAAGGGGGTCTAGTTCCCCCCACCCTTTTGCAGGTCCTAACAGGCGGAGCTTAACCCTAACCCCCTAGGGTATACGTAAAATCATACTGAAATCAGAGGATTTGGGACTGTCAGGGCTTGGATCGGTGCTTTAATGGCTGATGCCTGATGGCAGCCTTTCACTTCACTTTGAAAATTGGTCTACCAACAATGCTCCTGACCTCAATTGGCTTGATGTTCCTGGCACAGCCAACCACTTTCATTCCATGTCTGGCAAGCACCTTTGCTGTGGCTTGACCAATACCTGCAGAGGCTCCTGTTACCAAGGCAATACGTCCTGCCCATCTCTGCATGCCACCGCCTATGCTTGCCATATTGCGATTAACAGTTCTAAACAGGAGACAACCATTATTTGAAGAATTTGAATTCAAAATAATTTGGATTATGGGTTAGGAACCCGAAAATTTCACAACTCCTAGACTGACGACCACACGATAGGCTTTCAGGACATTTTGGAAGAACACGAGTTGTGACACAGATCATTGTGACAAATAGTCCCTACTGCCATGGAGGTAGGAAAACTGAGCGCTAATATGGGCGATTCACAATAGTGCGCCTCCAAGAGTTTCCAACGCGTTGACCAATCACAATGCGCGAAATTTGTCGACCCTTTCCAAACGTGCATATCTAAAACACGGACTGAGCGACAAGATACTACATGTACCAATGGGCTCTTACAAAACTTGGGCAGCACATTAGATGTCTTGACATGGAACAGCCGTCGAGACGATGAGGGGTCAAGTGACGTAATGTTCAACGACCTTATTTTGAAAGGTGGCAACTGTGAGAGCGAGCCCATGAGATTGAATGGATAAAGGCAAAAAGACTGGAAAATACCTGAATAACATGAGTGAAATCATTCAATAAATGACACTAAGAAAGCGGAGAGGCTAAGGATCATCTCTGTGTGCAGGAGAAATTGCGCCCACGATGATAAGTGGGTGCCACTGAAAATGTTCAGTACGCCGACACGAAATTGCGTATACGGAAGTGTGGCTAAGGATGGATCGGGAGTGAGGGTCCGTGCCACACTAGTGCCAGTGGGGCTAGCCCTATACGTGGGGCCCTGGTCTAGTCGGTAGGTGGCATTGCCTACCCCATCATAACAACTGCTGCATCCCATAAAGACCTGTTTGGCTAAAATGTTGCATCCTGACTCCACTTTTCTAATCATACATCATCGCAATAATAGTCAGTCATTACAAAAATGCTGGAAAGACACAAATTCTTGACTGAGAAACATTTACCGATGTTGTTGGGAAATACTTAGAATATTCTCTTCACTCCCCACAGACTTTGTATACAACTGCTGAAGTGGAGTCTTATCGTCAGGATGCAAGATTTTTTCCACCTGTTTTCGAGGGTGGACTGCAGTGTAGGGCTTTTCTTCGATATGGACAAAACCAACAACAAACAAATGTAAGGTGTCCCACTCACCGTTTCTATGAAGAATACCGGACGCGACTTTGCATGAACTCAGGTCAGTGCAAGGTGAAAGTAAATCATGCATTTAGCTCTACAATGCTTTGCATGGCTAAAGTGTGTTCATCACCTCGGGTTGTTGCCACCGCGCCGGCCGGAAGTGATACACAAGTCACGTCCTCCTATATGACTGACGATGACGATTGCGCGTTTATAAACCTACACTGGGACAGCATGGGCCTCTAAGGGGCGTGCACGCACCGGGTACTTTGACTTGTACATGCGTATTTTTGATGGTTGTACAGAGTACGGTGCCCCAATTAAGCCATACCTAGAGTAAATATTTGCAGCGACTTCGCAAATGTCTTAGGCGCTTATCCTGTGTTGCCGGAAGTCTTCTTTCCTGTTAAACTGCGAAAAATTGTCATTATTGTTCTGAATTTCCAAATGAAAATACATGTTCCAAAATAAACATTTTGCAGGCTTTCTTTGCTTTCCACCCTCATGTTTTCTTGTCTATTTGTATTTTAAATTTCCTATAATGAAAAGTAGGGAACAGGGGAGAAACTTGCCCCCGACGGATTTTTTCACTTTTATTTTCATTTTGATATTTTATTATCAAAATTTTCTTTTAATATTTATGTAGCAAACCCTAAGAAAACAACACCATGATCACATAACAGCTAGGATTTGGGTCCGTGCGTAAGGCTTTTGACATTTTTTCTCCCCCAATATCATGTCAAATAATCCCGAAGCCGCATTAATCGGTTTTTGAATTCCCCCAAACACACACACATCAAAAGCTGGATACGCTACTGCGTATCTGGCACGGCTGCTGCTTGACCGCAGTACCAGAAGAGGCACCTATTACCAAGGCAACACATCCTGCCCGGGTACCCCTGCAACACGGCTAGCCATGATTATGTGGGGTACCCCGGTAGTTCTCAAGACGTACATGTAATTAGAAGGGAGTTTCAGTCTCAGGAATAAACTCACCCTACTTCGAGAAATCAGAGTGTGTGTGACTTTGAAACAGGGTAATCGTTGTTAATGACTTTGAGTTCTTGAAGCAGTTTTATCCAGTCTCAACAATTGAAATCTCAGTGTCCTGTATGAAAGTTTGAAAATATTGAACACCCGAAAGAAAAAAACCTGACACGTGCAAAACAAAAGTCTAAAATTCTCTAACAGTCCAACATAGCACAAAAATTTACAGAGTCCCCAAGATGAGGAAAGTCCGGTCAACGTAGAAGTACGTCTCTCTCGTCCCTCTACGTTGACTTGAATTTCCTCATAAAGTGATTCTGAACTGCAAGTCACAACTGTACTCGTTGTGAGTTGCAGTTCTGATGTGGCGTGCAACTCTAAATGGTCGATAGTCTTCTGCACATGCCCTTGCTGCTCGAGTGTTTACGATGTTTGGACGATGATTTTCTTGCGGTCGAACATCCGGGAACTTCTGTACACTGTTGCACGAAGGGTAAAATAATTTGCCCCTTTGCTGCGCGCGTGTTAAATGTCCATGAATGCCCGTAGTGACGTCATGCCGACCGCGAGAATGCTATCACACGAGTGCAAGTGCCGAAACACAAATAATATAGTGCGTCTGTGTCCCGTATGGCACGAGGCCGAAAAAAACATAAAACAAAGGGACACTTTTGAGTTGAAAGCAAAAAGACACCTGCAATAGTCTTTATCTTTATTTCTAATTCAAAATTTAAATCATTACAATATTTTGCGAGGTAAAAAGAGGTTGCTTTTGGCAAAGATGACTTCCGACAATAAAGGATAAGATTAAGTCGCACAAGACGCGCCGCACGGCTACAAACATTTATTTCATGCATGCATGGCTTCACTTGTACACCGTACCGCTGTACAACCCTCGGAAATCGGTCACGGTCAGCGACGGGTACGTGGTGCGTTCGTGCGAGCAGTCCTTTGAGTAAAGCTGTGAAAGTTGTTTCAAATTGCCTGTGCCTTAGCACGGACGTATAGGAACTGGGGGGGGGGGCGATGGGCCAGTGTCCCCCTGAAAATATAGTGGCCGGGGGGCTACTGCCCCCCTTAAAAAGTTCTGTAATTTGCATTCTTAGGGGGGAAGTTTTAGAGTGGATAGTATTTGTAGCAGTGCGTGATAATTTTACTTCGATCACATTGAAAAATGGAAATTTCAATATTCACTTTCAATCAGGATCTTAATTGCGGTTCCTGTCCCTTGCGCGCCAACGACGAGGAGTCCCATTTTGTGCAGTACGCAAGCTGGTAGCATCGCAGGCCGTCTCGATGTCCGGAACACTGCAGGCTTCCAGAGCTCACGGCTAGGTCTATTTTCTCGGTGTCTCCACGTATTTCCAATGGAGCGAAGCCATAGACCTAGTACAACAGATTCGGTTGCAGCTTGTCCCCTTGTCTACAATTTCTTCCCGGCTATTAGTATTTCTACCCTCCCGAGGCTCACCTACAGTCTCCACGTAGAAATAAATCCCACAGCGACACACCCTCAAATAAACGTGTTTTTTTTCAAAATCATCCAAAGTTTATTCCCAAAACCAATCTATAAGAGAGAGCGCGGAATCGGATAGAGCCAACTTCTTATCCAAAAATTGAAAAATCCACAAGCTTCTTTCTTTGGATGTTGAATAGTTGAGGCCAAGTAAGATTGTGTTCACTATGACCACTCATTTTGGGGGGTTTCCCCAAGTAAATAAAAGTGTTACTGAAACATATCCACATACTATTTTAAACTGAAAGATTTGAAGCTCGTGCATGTCATCAAGTTTGTGATGTCATAGAGGCAAAGCTTTAACATTGCAGTGCAACTGGTTCAAGTGTGGACAAAAATTTAAGAATTTTTTTTCTTAAAGGAAAACTCTACCAATGAGTGTTTAGACTATCCAATACTTATTTTAAGGTGACCACCATTTCCTTTGGCAAAATTTGGGCTCTTTATTTTGTTATGTTTAATGCATCTGTGAGACACTTTTCCTGTTACGAGTTTACAAAACATCGCCTTTATAACGTGCAGTTTTAGATATGTCATGTTTTCAAAATTTAATTACATCAGATCTTACAATAATTAACTTATCTTTTTTAAACTGTCAAACTTGGATTTGAAATGCTGACATTTCAAAATATCGATTGATCAAAAAATCTTCCAGCGAGGCTTGTGTATCAGTCTAGCACTACAGAGCACAAAACCTTACAAAACCTTGCCAACCCGACACCGCAAGGGTTTCGCGCTAATCGCACTGACAATCACATACATTGGACTTCCCACAAAGAGATTTCATTTTCTGCCCCCCCCCCTTAGAATCATCTTCCTACGTGCTTGCTTAGGGGTTAATATAGGGTGATTAATATTAGGACATTATAGTTGATATCCTACATTTGTTTGTA